CTCCCCTCAGCAGAACGGCATCGCTGAGAGTCGCATTCGTGAGATCATCAAGATTTCTCGTTGCCTCATTGTTCACGCCTCCACCCCTCCTTCCCTCTGGAGGGTGCCCTCCTTTATGCCGCCACCCTCCTTAACCTCCGCTCCCTCCCTCAGCACTCTACCTCCTCCCTCACATAGATTTTGTCTGAAGTCAAGCCTGACGCTGCTTGCCGCCGCTCCTCTCAGGGCTACGGCTTCACCCTCGGCAGCGGCCTTGTCAGATGGCGCTCCACGCGCTCTTCTGCCATCGCTCTCTCCTCTTGCGAGGTCGAGCTTTACTCTAGCACCATGGCTGCTTAAGAGCCCCGCTGGCTCTGCTTTCTTCTTGCTGAGCTTGGAACTCCTCAGCGCTGCCCCACCCTCTAGTGTGACAATGCCAGCACAATCCCTCTCACCCAGGACCCTGTCTACCACGCCCGCTCCAAGCACATCGAACTGCGCTACTTCTTCATCCGCGAGCTTGTTCAGCAGGGACTTCATGCTGTTCGGAAGATTGCAGCCAAGGCCAATCTGGCCGACATCTTCACCAAGGCTCTCCCTCGCCCTGCGCACTCTGCCCTGCTACGCCTCCTTGGCATTGCTTGTCCGGATGCCCCTTGATTCATGGGTTGTCTCGTTCTTGTCTTCGCATGCTAAGGGGTTGTGTTAGAAAAAATATTATAGCATGCTTAGACTTTTGTGACTGTACACCAATTGTGGTGTACAGTTGGGTTGGGACTACACCCAACATTGGGTGTAGCCTTGTATGTTCAGGTGTCAACTCAGCCCAATTGTGGTGGAGCCCCTAAATGCACCCATTGGTCCTGAAAGGTGGCAACACTTTGAGAATGCTGTCAACCCAACCCAATGGGCCACTGGTTGGCTACACCCCCTAAGGGCTGTCAACTTAACCCAATGGGCCCCAGATTGGCCCACTCCCCAAATTGTTGCCAGCTTAATCCAATGGGTCATAGGTTGGCCCACTCTCCAAAATGTTGCCAACCTAACCCAATGGACCATAGGTTGGCCCACTCCACCAAGTTCCACCTCCCCCCTTTCCCTTCCAAGCTTCTCTTCCAAACTATGTATGCACCCTTCTCATCTAATTAATTCAATGGTTTATTTTCAATTCTTATTCTCACACGAACATGTTGAGCTAGCCTTCCTTGACTCATCATTCTCTTCTTCATCAAAGCACACGCTGACATAACTCTTCTCAATCCCTCCCTCTTGTCCCTTCCTCTTGTCCCTGTGGATGCAGGAACCTCTCATCATTTGTCACGCTAGATAGCTTACTATCAAGCTCCATCCCAGAATCATTTGCGCGCCTTACTAACTTGGAAGCATTGTACGTATTCCCATGTTCATCAAGGATTGTTCCTTACGAGCTGTAAATCTCCTGCATTATTGAGGTGTTCAGATAGAAATATGGGAGGAGAGGTAGACACGATGTGATGCATTTGATGACGTCACACCGCAGAAGAAACGTCACCCCCTGCACTTTGTCTTCACTCTCTCTATCTCTCCCTCCCTCCCTCCTTCCCTCCTCCCTCCCTCCCTCCCTCCCTCCCTCCCTCCCTCCCTCCCTCCCTCCCTCCCTCCCTCGCTGCCTCCCTCCCTCCCTCCCTCCCTGCCTCTCTCCCTCCATCCCTCCCTCCCTCCCTCGCTGCCTCCCTCCCTCCCTGCCTCCCTGCCTCTCTCCCTCCGTCCCTCCCTGCCTCCCTCCCTGCCTCCCTCCCTCCCTGCCTCCCTCCCTCCCTGCCTCCCTCCCTCCCTCCCTGCCTCCCTCCCTGCCTCCCTCCCTCCCTCCCTCCCTCCCTCCCTCGCTCCCTCTCTGCCTCCCTCCCTGCCTCATTCCCTCTCTCTCTCTCTCTCTCTCTCTCTCTCAAGCGGTCCTTCATTGATAGTTAAGCCAGATACAAGCAAGGCATGGAAGCAGTCATCCTAGCATGTATAGTAGCGAACTAACCAACCAAACAGCAGATAAACAATGAGACACATGTTTACAACGACCGAGGCCTCTTCCTGCTAATTGCCTCAGCTGGCCAGGACCTGCCACGGGCCTTTCACACGTGTACCGCTGCCTGGGGTCCCCTGTGCCCCGGCCCCTCACACGTCCAGGGCCGGCCCCCAGTCCAGGTCGTCCTCCAGGACCTGCCAGAGGTCCCCAAGGCGCGGCTCCCATGGGTCCGCTGGCGCCTGTGGGAATGCCCTTTCAGTTGCCCTGTTGGATTTGGCCAGCAGGGTGTTGGCCTGGCTTCGCTGCAGCATTACCGAGAATCGCTGCCGGTAATGTGCAGTGAGGTTGGAGGCAACCGTGGTTAGCCTCCCCTGCCTATACTTCTTCTTGGCCGCCGATGTCCCTAGCATGCGTAGGAACTTCTGGGTATCCCTGGCCAAGGCCCCATAGGTTTCCACCGCCAGTCCTAGCACCCCCACATACTCCGGCCGTCCCTCGTACAGGCCCCTCTTCCCTCTAGCCGCGTCCTCTGCCGCCCACCCCGGTGGCTTCACCCCCCTTGTGTCCCGCCGCTGCAGCACTGGATCCGTCACCGTGACGTCTGTCACGTACGTTTCCGCCGACTCCTTATCCTTGATGACCAGGTCTGCTCGCTTGGGGTTAACAATTTGCGAGAAGGCCGTGGTTTCATGTGCAGTCATGTAGTCGGCTTCGTTGGCCATCCGTAGTGCCGCGTACACCAGGGTGTTGTGTGTGTTCGTCCTGTCCTTTCCCTCCGCACATCTCAGCAGGTGGTTGGGGAGGCTTAGGTCTTCTATCTTGGACCGTCTCTTGCCACACGGGCACTTGTCCGTCACAGGTAAGGTCAGGCCGAGTCGGAACCCCAGGGCCATTGCAAACTGCCCTGGTGAGAACGTGAGGTCCGCTCGCGTCGGAATGGCATGGAGCCAGTCCCCCGCGCCCACCCCCTGCAGGCTGATAAGGCGGACCACGTGCCCGTTGTCCTCTCCTGGTTTGTCCACGCGTGTGTCCCCCACCAGCTCCGCGGCCCTATCCATGTTGACCAGCCTGGATAGTTGCTCCTGCAGTCGTCCTTTTCCCTCTCCCCCCCGGTCCGCTTCCCGGAGCAGCTCCCTGGCTGCTTCTGGGAGTCTGTTCCGTAGGTCCCTGATGGAGGTCCCTGTGTCCCCCACGGCTCCGTCCCCGTGTGGTGACACCAGCGCTGCTACGCTCCGTAGGGGGTGGCTGGGGCCTGTCGACACGTGCTGTAGGAGAGTCCGCGCCGCCTGTAGAGACGCCAGGTATGCCGCCGGTGCCTCTGAGAGTGGGTCTATGAGTCCCAGACCCCCTAGCGCGACCGGCAGAGTCGCCTGTCTCCACACCAGGCTCTGCTCCAGCTCCTTGCTTGGCGTGTGGAGGTGGGCCGCTTTCAGCGTTGTCCACAGGAGTCTTTCGCTCCATTCTCTCCATTCCCTTCGGGGGAGCATGTCTGCTGGTGTTGTTCGCAGGAGGTACGAGATCCTGCGCGAGATGCACCGTGAGAGTATCAGTAGCGCGTGTTGCGGGTGTAGCTTCCCGATGAGCCCCAAGGGCGCCGCCGTAGCCTCGAGTGTCCCCCTGATGGTGCGCTGGCAGAACTGTGTAGTGCCGATTGGGCTCCCTAGCACCTTGACTCCGTCCACTGCCGTTGCCAGGCCGTCTGGCAGCTGTCCGGTAAATCCTGATGGGCTCCAGGCGGACGACTTGGCGAGGTTGCACCGTAAGCCGCAGGTTCTCAGGTCATCCACGATCTTGTTCAGCGCTCTCGCTGCTTTCGCCGGTTCCCCTACGATCGTGATGTCGTCCGCGTACGCCATCACTGTCACTGCCGGGTCCGCTTCTGCCGCTGCGAGGAGCGCTGGTTGGATCGCCGCCGCAAATAACATTGGGCCCAAGGGGTCTCCCTGTCGCACCCCCCGCGCACTGATGATGTGAGGCGTGTCAAAACTGCTGTCCAGCAGGAGTGTCGAGGGAGATCCGTAGAGTGTGCGCGCTAAGGGCATGAGTGGTGCCAGGCCCGTCCATCGTAGCGTCGAGAGGAAGCTTCCGCGTTCCACGGCGTTGAAAGCGTTTTCGACGTCGAGCTGTAGGATCACCCTCGTTGGCTCCTCCGCCACGAGCGCCCGCGTTGAGTGGATAATACACTCTGCTCCCCCGGGCACCGCCACTCCAAACTGGACGGGTAGGAAGTATTCCCGGATTTCCCCCGCTAACTCCTTTAGCGCTGCCTTGCCCGCCACTCTGAGGAGCGCCTCCCCTATCGCTATCGGTCGGACGCCTCCGTCCGGCTTCTCTAAGGCGATTAACCGAGATGGCAGTAGCAGCTCCTGTGTCGCCTCGTTCTGGTAGGTGCTTGACAGCCGATTGACCAGTCTGTGAAGGAGTGCGAAGACCTCCCAGTTGGTTAAGGCGGGGTCTCGTAAGTGCTCGAAGCAAGTCCCTGACGGCCCCGCTCCCACTCCATTTGGGCATTTCGCCAACACTTCGCGAAACGATTCTGCACTGATTGCGAGCTCGGAAGTCGCGTAACCTGTGACACCTTCCTGTGTTGCCGTTTCCTGGGCAGGGTGTTTCGCGATGAGGGCTTCCAGTGTTCGCTGCGAAGGTTCGGCCAAAGGCGAGATGTGTAACGCCGCTGTAGCTTTCGCCAGGTTGGCCTTCCGTACCAGCCCCTCAGCCCTGGCGCAGATTCCCTCCGGGTCCGGTTCGTGCCTGTCAGGTTTCGAGTTTGGTGGGAAAGTGCTGGCCTGGGTGTACAGTGCGTCACACTCCTCTTCTCGGAACTGTCGAAGCCGAGCCTCCACTGCCTGCCACCTGTTCCCAGGTGCTGTTTCCTTTTCCGCGCGTAGTGTGAGCCTGGGGAGGAATTGTAGCAGCCTCCATGCGCCGAGGCAATCTGGCTGCTTCGAGAGTCGCAGCAGTGGTACGGTCAAGCAGTGACTGTACACCTTCAGGATTTCCGGGGGGAGTCTCCGGACCAGGAATGGTTGTGCGCTGGCGCGGAGTGGTCCCAAGTCCCATTCCAATATCTTTTGCCACGCGTTCTCATCCTCTGCAATCTTCAGGGGGGCCCTCTCCTTGCTGGCAGCCTCGTTGGCCCGCTGGGCCTCCGATTCGCCCACCTCTGCGTGATTTTCTCGATCCTCCCGTCCCTGTCTGCCTCCATGTCGTCCGCCCCCACCCCCATGTGAGGGCATCCCATCCTCTGGCTCGACCGATTCATCCTCTGACTCTTCCTCTTGTCCCCCCATATATTCTGACCCTTCCTCCTGCGCAGGTTCATTCATTGGTTCCTCCCCTACGTCCTCTGACCTCCCGTGTCGTTCCCGCCAGTTTCCAGATCTGGCTTTCTCTCGTGCCACTGCTCTCACCAGCTCGCCCACGCGTCCGCCCCTGCCCCTGCCTCTGCCTCGCCCCCGGCCTCTGGTGGCCGCTCTTGCCGCCGCGTTTCGCGGTTGGTGGCCTGCGGCGCATTCGTCCGCACGTTCCTGAAGCACTTGCTGCCGGCTTGTGCCCGCTCGCCTTCTCCGTTCCGCGGCGCTTGCCGCCAGCACCGCATCCTCCTCTTGTGCCTCGTCGTCTGCCTGCTCTATCGCACGTCGTTCCACCTCATCCTCCTCCCGTTGCTCGCCGTGCCGCTGTGATGGCGGGGAAGCGTCCGCGGCGAGGTCGCGCGGCAGGGCGCTCTGCTGTTCCCAGCCCGCCAGAGGCCCCGGACGAGCTGGCGCCAGTCCTGCTCCGAGCCGCCGCTGCCCTGGTCGCGCGCGAGGGGGCCGGAGCCCCCTCTCGTCCACGTGAGCCGGTATATCATTCGCCCCGTGGGCGCACCCACCCTCATCTGCGGGCCCGTGGTGGTTCCTTCCGTCGTCGCCGACCGCCCCGGCCCCCACTTGCCCTGCAGCGGCAGATCGTTGGTCCACATCTCCCCGGGCCCCCTCCGGTGGTTCCGCAACAATCTCCACCTCCGCCTCCTCTGCCCTCGTCAGCCTGGTCGTCCCAGCAGCAGTCGTCTGGTCCAACTGCCTCGTCCCCCGTGGCGGCCTCCCCTGCGTTAGCGTCGGCGCCGGAGCTGTCGGCTGGCGTCGCTGCGCCCCCTCTACCGCTGTCGCCGGCTCCCCCCGTGGTGTCGGCCCCGCTTCCTGCTCCGCCGCCCTCCTCCTCTCCTCCTCCCGGCGAGCCTCTGCAGCGGCAGCATCCCCTGGTTCCGTCTGGGCCTGTTCCTGAGGCCCGCTTTCCTCCTCCTCGTGCCCGATCTCCTGAGCTTCCCCCCGACGCTCCTGACCCCGAGGACGACGAGCGGTGGTGGAATGGGGAGCTGTGGGAGTCCCCCCCCCAGCCTGCGACTCTGTGGGGCCGCGAGTGGGACATCCACTGCGATGTTGTGAAGGACATCCTCCGCTGGGAGAAGCGGATGGTGGCGGTTGGGGAGTGCATGTCGCATGTGGCGACCATTCTCGAACAGTTGCACGCTGGCTTCGTGGCGCGGAACCTCGTTCTCCGTGATCCTCAGCTGACGGAGCCCCAGCAGGGTGTTGTCCGGGAGGCGGCGGCGCAGGGTCTCTGGCGCCTCCTCCGCTTGCCCCTGGAGCCCGAGTTCCCCGAGCAGGACGAGGGTCCTGGCGCGCGGGCTTTCCGGCGGGTAGCCAAGGCTGCAGAGGAGTCTCCCCTCGAGCTCGTGCCTGCGCTCGCTGTTCTCTTGCGCTGGATGCGGCGGCGGTTTTACGTGCTGAACCGCGTGTAGCGGCCTGCCCCCTCTTGGCGTCATTGTTTGCCTTCTGTTTTCCCATGTTAGGCTCTCCTACTTACCTTGCCCGTCGTTTGTGGGCCTTCTCTAGTGCCGCATCTTGTATCTCTCGTCTTTAGTGTTGTTGTACCTTGCCGTCCCCTCACGCGCGGCCGGCGCGAGCCGCTGGATTCGCAGTGAGAATGGGCTCACCACCGAACAATGAGAGACAAAGTTGGCTCCTTGCCCTTATAAACCTGGGCACTAACCTGAAACGGCTATAGAGTAAGCTACACCAAGGGACTAGTCTACACTAAGGAACTAAGTTGAAGAAACTAAACACTAAGTGACCAAGGCTAGGTGTCTCTCTCTCTCTCTCTCTCTCTCTCTCTCTCTCTCTCTCTCTCTCTCTCTCTCTCTCTCTCTCTCTCACTCTCTCTCTCTCTCGCTCTCTCGAACGAGCCGCTGGATTCGCAGTGAGAATGGGCTCACCACCGAACAATGAGAGACAAAGTGGGCTCCTTGCCCTTATAAACCTGGGCACTAACCTGAAACGGCTATAGAGTAAGCTACACCAAGGGACTAGTCTACACTAAGGAACTAAGTTGAAGAAACTAAACACTAAGTGACCAAGGCTAGGTGTCTCTCTCTCTCTCTCTCTCTCTCTCTCTCTCTCTCTCTCTCTCTCTCTCTCTCTCTCTCTCTCTCTCTCTCTCGCTCTCTCGAACGAGCCGCTGGATTCGCAGTGAGAATGGGCTCACCACCGAACAATGAGAGACAAAGTGGGCTCCTTGCCCTTATAAACCTGGGCACTAACCTGAAACGGCTATAGAGTAAGCTACACCAAGGGACTAGTCTACACTAAGGAACTAAGTTGAAGAAACTAAACACTAAGTGACCAAGGCTAGGTGTCTCTCTCTCTCTCTCTCTCTCTCTCTCTCTCTCTCTCTCTCTCTCTCTCTCTCTCTCTCTCGCTCTCTCTCTCTCTCTCTCGCTCTCTCGAACGAGCCGCTGGATTCGCAGTGAGAATGGGCTCACCACCGAACAATGAGAGACAAAGTGGGCTCCTTGCCCTTATAAACCTGGGCACTAACCTGAAACGGCTATAGAGTAAGCTACACCAAGGGACTAGTCTACACTAAGGAACTAAGTTGAAGAAATTAAACACTAAGTGACCAAGGCTAGGTGTCTCTCTCTCTCTCTCTCTCTCTCTCTCTCTCTCTCTCTCTCTCTCTCTCTCTCTCTCTCTCTCTCTCCCTCTCACTCTCTCTCTCTCCGACAGTGCATTGTTTCACGTGAAAGTGTATTGTTTCGATAGAAACGAACACACCCAAAGAGCTGAATAACCAGAAGTTCCTCGAGAAGATGTGGCGACGACTGGATAGGTGTTACTCTTTGTCCAACAGCGTCACTGTTTCCGAACAAACGCACCTGAAAGTGTATTGCTGCTAGAAAAGAACGCACCCAGTGACGCTTGACAACGAGAAGTTCCTTCAGAAGATGCGGCGGCAACTGGACAGGTGCTGCTCTCTGTCCGGCCGGCAGCATCACTGTTTCCATTTGAAAGTGTATTTGCCCCTAGAAGCGAACGCACCCAATGACGCTTGACAGCGAGAAATTCTTTGAGAAGATGCGGCGACTACTGGATAGATGCCGCGTCTCGAAATTCTCTCTCTCTCTCTCTCTCTCTCTCTCTCTCTCTCTCTCTCTCTCTCTCTCTCTCTCTCTCTATCTCTCTCTCTCTCTCTCTCTCTCTCTCTCTCTCTCTCTCTCTCTCTCTCGAATGGTCCGTTGTATTGATATAGGGATGTGAAAACAGCAAAAGCAAGCAGCCAACCAACAAACAGGAAAGTCCAACTATTCCCCACCCTACTCTCAACCCCTACCCTCCCCCCCCCCCAAGTCGTCTACTCACTACCATTGCACGGCTCTAGGGTTGCAAAGCAATCCCCTGGGTCCAGGACCCCCTCTGGTCCTCCTAGGGCAGGGTACTCTCTCTCTCTCTCTCTCTCTCTCTCTCTCTCTCTCTCTCTCTCTCTCTCTCTCTCTCTCTCTCTCTCTCTCTCTCTCTCTCTCTCTCTCTTTCTCTCGAACGGTCCTTCGTATTAATAGCAGCAATGGACAAACAAGGCAAGGCATCATCTCAGAAGGTAACAAGGCAAATCTAATTTAAACAAATAAGCCACACCACACCATCCCAAGTCCCGTCCTACCCCCCCCCCCGGCCCCACGGCCCTACTGGCCAGTGGGGTCTTCGATCAGCTGGTACAGCTGGCCCAGCGGCGTGAACGGGCCCTGCAGGCCAAGCTCATCTGCGGCTATGGCCTCGTGGGACTTGTCGCGCAGGGCGTTGGCCTGGGCCCTATGGAGTGTCACACTCCAGCGCTGCCGATACTCCGTGAGGAGCTTGGCCACCTCCCAAGATTTCGGTGCATTGTACCGCCTCTTGCCCGCGAGCTCGGCGCAGCTGCGGAGGAAGGCGTGCACTCCCAGGGAGGGGTAGCCGTACGTCTCGACCGCCATGGCGTGGAAGCCCATCCACGCGTTCCGCCGCGCGTATTTGTCATCTTTCTTGGCGGCTTGCATCCTTGCAGCCCACCCAGGCGCCTTCCGTGCATGCTCATCCTGGTGGGAGACCGGGTCCGTCACGGTGATGTCGCACATCCATACCTCACCGATGTCTCTCTCTCAAGCGGGCCGTGTATTAGATCCAAGCGGTCCTGGGGGGCGCGTTTGCCCCGTAGGTCTCGACGGCCAGGGCGCAAAAGTCCACGTGTTCTGTGTGCCTGTATTAATCCCTTTCCTTCCTCTTCTGTGCATCCCTCGCAGCCCAGCCTGGGGGTTTGCGGGCTGCGGGGTCTCGGTTCTGTAGCACAGGGTCAGTGATAGTCGTGTCTGTGATCCAGGTCTCTCCACTGTCTGGGTCGCGTACAATCACATTGGCCTTCTTCGGGTCATCCGGTGGTGAGTTCATTGCATTCTCCAGGTATACCACCAGCTGTGCCTCCCTCGCCATTTTAGCCACGGCGAAGGCCAGCTGGTTGTGTGTGTGCGTTCTGTCGGGGCCTGTGCTGCAGCGGAGTAGGTGGTTGGGTAGGCTGCAGTCGGCTACGAGCTCTCCACACTCGCACACGGTAGGTACATTCTGTCGGATGCCCATGCGGAAGGCCAGGGCTGTTCGGAATTGCCCTGGTGAAAATCAGAGGTCTGGAGTCAGGGGTAGGGCTTGCAGCCATGCCCCTGCTCCCTCGCCTCTTAAACTGACGAGGCGGAGCGTGTGGCCCATCTCGGGGGCTGACCTGATTGCCGTGTGCACTTCCTGAGAGAGGGCGCGCTGCAGCTGGTCTTGGGACGGGGTTTCCTGCTCCTCGCGGAGGTGTTGCAGCGCCAGTGGGGTCATCCCTCCATGTCTTGGATGGTGACCGAGTGCGCTGCAGACGGCTGCAGGGCGTTGCTGTTGCTCCATAGCGCCGCGGTTGCTGGCAGGTCAAGTGAGCGGAGCAGGCGTAGCGCCTCTGTTGTTGAGGCCAGGTAGGCTGGTGCTGCTTCTGTTGTGAGGTCCGTGAGGCCCAGTCCACCTAGGGCTACTGGGAGGGTTGCTTGGCGGATGAGAAAATTGAACTCGGCTTCGCGGCGGGGTGGTTGGATGCTGGCGGCAGTCAAGGAGGTGTTGAGCAGTTCTGCGCACCAAGCGTGCCATTCCGAGAGGGGTAGGACATCTGCTGGGGTGGTGCGCAGCAGGTAGCCGATTCTGCGGCTGATGCAGCGGGACAATAGCAGGAGGGCATGCTGTGAATGGATGGATGCTATGGAACCCAGGGGTGCCGCCGCGTCTGTCAGAGCACTGCGGACTAGGTCAGAGCAGAAGCGCTGTGACCCCACAGGGCTTCCCAACACCCGTACCCCCTTGTGGGTGAGGGGGAGGCCCTCGGAGAGCTCGTTACCTTCAAGCGGCGTCCTTCAAGTGGACCACTCCGACGACTTTCTGAGGTTGCAGGTGAGGCCATCCTGGGCGAGCAGCGGCGTCAGCACCCTTAGCGCGCCGAGCGTTGCTGTCGCCGGCCCGATCATGGTGATGTCATCTGCGTATGCTAGGATTGTGACTTCTGGGTGCTCTGCTGCTACGCGTCTGAGGTGCTGCTGGATTGATGCCGCGAACAGCAGGGGTCCGAGGGGATCCCCCTGCCTAACTCCCCTTCCGCTGGTGAGTGCCGTAGTGCTCAAGCGGGGATCGGTCAGCAGCTGTGAAGGCATCGCGTAGAAGGAGCGTGTGAAAGGTATGAGCTGGGCTAGCGGGGTGTTGGTGAGTGCGTTGAAGAACGCTTTCCTCTCTATGGAGTTGAAAGCGTTCTCAATGTCGAGTTGGAGAACTAGGCTGGATGGTTGTGAAGTGGTGAGGTCTCTGACTGCGTGGATAACGAACTCAGCCCCGCCTGGGACTGCCACGCCAAATTGTTGGGGTAAGAAAAACCGCCTTGTCTCTCCTTGCAGTTCTGAGAGTGCCACCTTTGCTGCCAGCCGAATCAGGGATTCCCCTATCGCGATAGGGCGTACCCCCCCCCTGGTTTCGCGAAGGCGATGAGGCGGGATGGCGAGAATAGCTCTGCAACCTCGGTGTAGAGATTCGTCGAGAGAAGGGGTGTTACGGCGGAATGCAGGTGCCCCAGTACCTCGATGTTACTTAGGGCTGGGTCGCGGCAGTGTTCGAATATTGACCCTGATGGACCAGCCCCAACTCCGCTGGGGCAATCCCCGAGGACGTTTGAGAAACTTTCCGCAGTGCACGAAAATTGCGTGGGTGTTGTGTAGGTGTGGACCCAGTCGGGCAGGTCAATTTGGGGTTGGGGATGTTTCGATTCCAACTGCTGCAGTGTCGCGATTGTCGCTGGGGCTGCTGGCGAGGGTTGAAAGGCTGCCAACGCTTTTCGCAGGTTACCCCGTTTCACCAACCCCTCCACACGTGAGCAGATTCCCAGGGGGTCATTTTGGTGCTGAGGTGGCTCAGCTTGGTGCAGGGA